TACCTTCTCTTGTATTTATTAATTCTGCTAATAGTTCATTATATGCCGATTGTTTAGATATAGTTCTATGATTAAAAAATTCTATATATATGTTGTGCCTCAGATTGGTTCTTGTCTTATGTAATAACTGAGATACCTCAGATATCGATTATCATATGAGGTGCGTAATCTGTCGATCAGGTATCTGAGGTACCTCAGTTATCATCTGAGGCGCCTCAATTGCTATTTGAAGCAATTAAAAAATTTTTTTTAGCCAACTTTAAATTACTTTAAGCAACATATTTATTTGTATCACAGCGATTATGTAATTATGATAGCATTTTATAAATTTATACATAATTCACAAATTAACCAATTCTACTTTCTAAGTTAGTTCTTATTTGAACATGGTTTTCCGCCATAACATTTGCTTATACAATTTCTTCCTGATTTTTTATACTTGCATTTATTGCTATTAGCTCCTTACAGTTACAGATAGTACTTGATACTAACCCTATACTTTGAAGTTTTTCAGCCTTTCTGACAGATAATTTGTTTGATGGAATTTCATTAAGTTTGAAAAAAGTAGTGGTGCCAAGACTTTCCATTTCCCTTGTGAATAACAAGCATTTATAATGCCATATTTACAACCTAATTGATACTTTTTACCAATTATATCTACAATTTTGCAAGGGAGCATAGGTCGATCAGTGCCAAACTGATTGATCTTCGGGACATCTACTCAAACAAAATCTCCAACATGAAAATCAATAACTTTTCTTTTTTTTAGCATCTAGTTTGTTATCTTTTCTGTATAAATCTCAAGATCCCATCATGCTGCTGTTTGTAAGATTTCATGCATGGTATTTGAATTCTTGTTTGTAACATCACCAAGAACTGAATTATTAGTATAACTCCAAGTTAAATTCAACAAAATAAATAAATAAATAATAAATAAATAAATAAATAACATAAACTTGTCTAATTGCTTTTGTAAAAGTTTTGAATTTTCTGAGTTCCTATCTGAAGTTAAAAAAAATAATTATAGTAAATATAATAAATATGAACTTGCGCTTTTATCTAAATAAAAATATAACTTAAGTAAAAAAAAAATACAACAATAAATGCATATAAACTTGTCTGAGATACCGCTATTATTATCTGACTCTACATATAAAAGTTCTGAATCTTCGTCTAAGAATAGAAAAAATATTAGTGCTTTAGATTTTTTAAATGAGGTAAAAATGATAAAATTATAAAACTAATTAACTTTGAAATATAAAATTCAATATTTACATATTCAATACAGATTACATGCTAAAAAAAACTATAATAAATAAAAAATAAAACTTACGCATATATAAAGTGCTATTGTTATTATTCAGCTCTATGTATGAATGCTCTACATATAAAAATAAAATAAATAAAATCTTTATTAAAAAAATAAAAAATAAAAGATAAAAAAATAAAAAAAAGCAAATAAAAATTTATTTAAAGTGCCTCCGCTATTATTTAATTGTTTGTATAAAGAATCCAAGTTATTATCTAAGAAAAGAATCAGAAATACAAGTAGTAATAATTTAGTTGCTAGTATAAAGCTCTAGACACTTGACTTAAATTTAACAATAATAATAATATTATAATTTACCCATATCGCTATTATCTAGTTGAACCATATTGAGTAATTTACTTAAAACACTATCTTCACTATACTATAGACGAGATAAAAATGTAAAATTTTCATTATCTAAAGAATCTGAGTTTTTATCTAAGAATTATAAATAAGTTAGCAAAACAAAATCAAAAACTATATAGCAAATATAAATTAGTAAAATAAAATGAAAGAATTGTAAATCTGCCTATGTCATTCGATTCTTGATATAAAATTTCAGGGTAGTCTAAAAAAATAATTAAAAAAAAATAAAATAAAATAAAAAATAAATAACATAAAATCATAAATTACTGTATTAAAAGTTTATCACTCATAGTATTTGAAATTTTTTTCTCATTATGAATTACTAACCAATATGCAACTACTATAGAGCTTGTTATCATAAACAAGTTTGTAAGAAGTTTTTTTGTATAAACGGCACCAGGAATTATTCATAGCCATAATAATGAATCATAAACCAAATGATCAATTATTACAGCCAGTTGCCTCTTTTCACTTTCCCAACTTCTGCTCCAGTATTCCATTAGCATGTTCTACAAGTTCCTGTGACTGGGGGTGTCTAGGATGCCTATTTATTATTTTTACTAAGAGCCACAATTCAATTAATTATTTAATAACCTTTGCACAAAATTCTTTCCCATTATCAGATTGCATTATTATAGGAGGAGATCCTATCAGATTGAAAAGGTCGAATAAATAGACCGCAACTTTAACTGCCCTTTTAGAAATAAGAGCCCTGGCCCATAAAAACTGCATAAAATGGTCTTGAACATGACATATATATTTAAAATCTCCATTCGGGTCAAAAGTCATATCAATTAGATTAATCTAAAAAATAATTTTAACTTTAAAAAAAAAAAAAAAAAAAAACAGATAAAAAATTCAAGTTACTTGGATTTATGATAAAAAATTTCTTGCAATAATTGGTTTTGCAGCTAAGAGGTGAAATATTGATTTCTTTACAGCACATATTATACAATGATTCACAAATTGCTTAATAATATCTTGTTTGACCCAACCCCATCTTTTTCTTAAAGTCTTTCATGTTTGTTTTTGACCACTGTGCTATGTGATCTGTCTATATACTTGGCAAAAAATTTCATACATATTCTCAATAATTAGTACTGGGTTATTGCTAGCTTTTACAAGAATCTGATAGTTACCAGAAACAATTTTCTCAAGATGAAATTGTTTTTTAGCCCAAATTCAAGTATTTTTATCATAAAGTGAGGTATTTTTTGGATCTAGTAAAATGTGCTTTATTTTATCCAATAATTCGTGGTTAATTAAAGCCTTTTTATGCTTTGGTGCTAGTAGGTTATCTATATGAGTGCTGCCAAGAGAAAAAGGCTGATCGGACTTTCAATATATTTTGTATACAGTCAAGCATCTATAAAAAATTTATTATAATGATAAACTTTTCATAGACAGCTAACTGTATACAAAATATATTAAAAGTCCGATCGGCCTTTTTCCCTTGGTAGCACTCATATAATTTTGAATCATAATAACATAGTAAAAGATGTATTTTTTAGTTATATCTAATTATAAAAAAAAAAGAAATCGAGTTATTCATAAATTCTTTTATTTTATTTTCACTATACTTCAATATTAATTTTATACAATTACTAATACAAATATAGAAATTACATTATACAATATCACCAATAAGTATTACAAACAAATTATTTTTTGAAACCGCATATAGATCTTGCCTTGGATAATGACCGAGGTACCTCAGATACCCAATTGACAAGTTACGCACCTCATATAACAATCGATATCTGAGGTATCTCAGTTATCATCTAAGTCAAGAACCGATTTGAAGCACAACATATATATATCTTTTATATGCTAGTTGATTATCTACTTTATATTTTTTTTATTACTAATAGATTATAGAGTCTATAATACTTCAAATATATAATATATTTTTTATATTTAGTTAAGATATCTAAAGATGATTTTAAGATATATATAGATATTAGTTACTTATTGGCTTTATTTATTTTAAAATATTGAAATAAAGAACAAATAAATTTTGGAAATTGATATTTCCACACCCTATTTTTGATATTTCCACACCCCTCCGCTATATTTGATAAGATCGACATACATAATGTATAACAATAAATAAACAATAAATAAAGATCGGCACTTACAATAAGATCGGCATGCTTATAATAAAAATTATACAGTACTATATATATCGTATAATATATATACACCCGATAGTTACACAATATATATTGCTGTATTGTATAATATAGCAAATCGTGCCTAAGTGCAACTTGATAATAATTTTTACCCAAATGAAGATAGCAACTCATATAAAGGAGACAAATTTTCAACATATTACGGAAAAACTAAACAGTATAAACAATGGAACATTATTTAATTAAATCCGGAAGAGAATGCGGAGGGTTTTTTTTAAAAAAAAACCCTTTAGCGATATTGCTGTGGGACGCTATTTGCATCTTAATATGCACTTAGTGATTCATCCTTTTTACATTAATATATTATGTATAAAGAATCATTAAAAATTAATTTTAAAAGGGGTAGCTAGTTAAAGCAATTATATTTTAAACTTACCGATATATTATACAGTGAATTGTTATCACCTTTATATTTCAGCACTATTTTAATTAAATTGCAGTTCTGTATTTTCTTTTACTATTTACTTTAGCTATAAATTGTATTCTTTTTAAGCTTTTTTTACTTAATAATCTTTTAATCTTTGATTTGAAAATCCTAAAGTTATACAAACCAGTTCTAATTTTTCAGTATTTCCAAAGTGATTACTCTTATTGGAAGCGCCCAACATTGAGTTGCAGTATAAATAAATATACAAGTACTACTATAATTTAAAAATGCTTTAGTATTTTCATAAGATAGTAAACTGACTGAGGTGTGTATAATGTGCGAATATAGTGTGTATGAAATTTATGAAAATAACAATTAAATTTATATGTCATATAATACGTAGTTTCTTAAAACAATCGAAGGTGGCGTTACAGATGCGAATAATCAGCTTAAAGAAAATAATAAAATTCTTTATAACTTAAATACTGGCGTTGGAACAGTTATAAAGCATACTGTATAAGGTCTAGCACCATTGTATATAACACCTTCTACGTTCACTTTTCCAAAGTAGGGAAAATTAGAAAAAATTTTAAAATTAAGAGTTAAATTTTTATCATTCATATTCGTGTTCTACTATTTTTGCTATATCACAATTTTACCAATTTTTTGAAATAATTAAGTTTTTAATGATTCTTTTCCTGCCTCACTTCAATTATTTTTAAATAATCTGGGTAAGAATTAGCAATATTTTCTAATTGATAAAACATTAATTGCAGACATAGTTGGCATTTGGATTACTACTTGTTGGATAAATACCTATTTCGGCTAGGAGATAGGAAATTTTACAATCATTTGCGTAGTTTGCTTGGAGAAAGTTAGTTGCTCCATTAGTAATGGCCGAAATGGCTGCACAGACAATATCCTGACCCTTTTCGACAAAATCAGCATGATCTTTGATAATGATATACTGAAAATTATTTTTGGTATCTTTCTTATAGAGAATAGTAGTCGGTATATATATTAAAAGTTGTGTGAAGTGGTTTTTTTTCGTCTAGGCAAAATGTTTTTGTTCATTTTTAATACTTCGTATAAAATATTCTATTTATTTTTCCAACTTTTCGGCCAATTCTAAAACTTTTTGGTCGTTTCCATAACTGTTATTTATATTAATACTAACCGGCAAATCATTAATGAAACCAATAGGTAAACTTATCGAGGGCAAACCAGCGAAATTGGCTAAAAGCAACAAATTATCGCTTCAATGAGAAGATATTAAACCGGCAAAAGAATGATTGAAATTAACCGCCAGCAGAGCAGTACTATTAGTGCTGGGGAAAATTATAAAATCATAAGTTTGCAAGACTTTTTTCACCCACCTATCTACTAAATAACGCATTTTTGGGCTTTGTCAAATAACTCCTGATTTTCTAAAAAATAAGATCCGATTAATAGCTGTTGTTTTACTATTTCTCCCAGATATTTACTTTGTTTGTGAGTGATAAGATTTTATTGCAAATTAAAGGACGAATTTTGTGACATGAATATGAGAATAATTATTATTTAAAATTTTAAATATAAGGAAATCAACATTAAAAAAAAGTATTAATTTCATAATATCTTCTTTAACAGTAGCCTATAATATGATCAATAATATTTTTGATTGATTAGTTCAAGGCGGGTTAAATTTATTAAAACAATATTTATATTATTACTTTATTTAACTATTCATTAAAACAGCGATAAAACACAAACTTCTATTTAAAACTTATATGCAATAGATATTTAAGACTATAAAATCTATGGAATTTTGCTTTAGCCTAAATTTCAATTTGTATCAAATTACTCATTGATCTATTTTATTAACTATCATCAGGACAAGTCCTACTATTATGTCTGATATTATGACATTTGCCACACCTTCTTGCTGTTGTCTTTGATTCTTCTTTCTCAAAAGCTGAAGGGATTCTTCGAGTAAATGATGAGATAATACTTTTTGATCCTGGCAAATCGAAAATGTGTACCAGGTTGTGCTCCGGATGAGTCCGGAAATCGAGCCAAACGATCCAAACGATCATTAAT